CATGTGTCGGGACATGTGACATAGAGCCATACATGTGTCGGGGCACATTTGGGTGGCCTAACTTCACTTCGGACTCGATCCTAAGGCTGAAATTACAACTTAAAATATTCATTAGCTCTCTATAACTACACATCACATTAATTTACTTAATTAATCTCATTTACTCAAAAAATTAAGGGTTAAATTCTCTAAGATGTTGCATAGATAGTGTACAAGCTTTCATGTGTCCACAATTTTGGCAAATATCAAGTGCAAAGGTTGTTAAGCTAGTAAAGAAAGGTTTTGAAGATCCTGAAGAAGTGGGTAAGATCAATCAACAAATATTGCTCTAATGCAAAAAATTGACAAGCTTGAAAGTTTGAGGGACTTCTATCCTATCTTCTTATGTAACATTAGCTATAAAGTTATCCCCAAGGTGTTAACTAGCAAGATTAAAGGTGTTATTAGCAAGCTTGTAGGCTATTATCAAAGTAGTTTCATTAAAGGACATTAAGGGAGTGATAATGTCTTAGTTTCCCAAGAAGTTATTCATAGCATGAGATTCAAAAAGTCCAAAATGGCTTGATTGCAATCAAGGTTGATCTTAAAAAAGCTTATGAAAAATTGGAATGGAACTTTATCAAAGATTGTTTACAAGAAGTAGGCTTTAAAGGTAAAATCCTTGATTTGATCATGAGTTGTACCAATAGCTCTAAGATGGAAATTCCATGGAATGGATTGCCTACTGAAGAGTTTAAACCCTCAAGGGGGATCAGACACTTCACCTTATATATGGAAAATCCCACATGATTGAAGATAAAACGAAGGGCAGTAATTGGAAGCTAGTTAAACTTGTTAAGAATGGTCTACCAATCTCCCACCTCTTCTTTGCTAATAATTTATTCCTTTTTAAAGAAGATACTTCTAACCATATTGATGTTACTAATAGCTATCTTACTCATTCTAAAAAGCCTCTAGTCAGTTGGTCAATAAAAAATAAAACATAGATGTGTATGTCTAAGGCTGTCTACATCTCTCAAGCTATTCAACTTAGTAATTAATTAGGGACAGGGCTTATTAGTGATCTTAAGAAATACTTGGGTATCCCACTTCTTCATAGTAGAGCATCCTACTCTAAATTTAAGCTAATCTTAAGGAAGGTTCAAAAGAAGCTAACAAGCTAGAAAGGCAACTCTTAACTCTAGCAAGCAAAAGGTACTTATCTGATCTATCTTCACTGCTATACCAAACTACCATATGCACAACCATGGTTCTCCCTAAGAGGACTCTTAATGAAATTGAGTGAGCTAGCAAATCCTTCTCATGGAGAATCTATGAGGAGAAATGAAAAATATACTTGGTCTTCTGGGACAATATCAGAAGCAAATGAGAAGTAGGGTGTTTAGCAGTCAATCATCTAACATACCAAAATAAAGCTTTTATTTTAAAGCTTTACTAGAATTTACTAAATGATAATGAGCCTCTTTGGGCATAAGTCCTTAAATCTAAATACAAATGTGATGATTTCAATTTACCTACAATGTGCAAGAAGACTTATTCCTCAAAAAACATAGAAGAGTGTCATAAAGGTCTAGGACAACTTCGTAAAGGTGTAGACTTGAGATACAGCCTTAAAAAATTAACTTGCTTATAGAATGTCAACTAGTCTGCGATGAATTAGCCCCACTCATTCATGCTAATAAAATCTCAATGGATTTCAATGATAGAATTGAGCAGTTTATTCCCCTAACGATGCTTGGGACATATCTAAAATGGAAAATTGGCTTCACTTATCTACTATTATTCAAATTACTACCATTAGCCCACCCATTATGTTGAGAGAGAGACAGAGAGAAATATGTGCAAGAAAAATTAATAAAAACAAACCAATCCCTATTAATCACATTATAAGCATATAAATAATCATTCAACCTCGGTGATTGATGAATGATCTATCTCTCCTCTAGGTTATTGTAATTGAATTTTCATTATTATGAATGATTCCAGTTTGATCTGAAAAAAAATATTACTTTACAAATGGAGTATTAAATGTTGAGCATTTTTATAAATTTTTATTTTTATTTTAAAAATATAATATTGTAAAGTGTATTTAATAAGCTTTATTGGTAAATAAAGAACCATATTTTTTTAGATTTGACAAACATTTTAAAAAATTAGACCGGACCAACCAATTGAACTTATCAGCAATCATATCTAGTAGAGACCATCAAACCAAAGGATGTGCAAACTGGTAAAAAACTGGTTAATCAATCAAAAACCAAGCTTAGCTGGGAAAAACTGAGCTATTCAATAAGTCAACTGATTCACACAAGCAGATTTAAAAAGGGAGAAAACAAACAGAACAACAAGATAGAGAAAATGAAAGATATGGAAAATGAATGAAATTCAAGAAAAAACTAAGAAAAAAAAAAGACATTTTATAGCAAATAATCACCTTAGGTGTTCTCTGTTAGTCACAAAACCACTTTGGTCATGTTTAGTTACTAAAAAGAAATAAAATGGAATGGACTGAAAAAATAAAAGTAAAATGAAATGATTAAAAAGAATAGTGAATCACATTCATAAAATAAATGGGTAATTTAGTTCATGGGACTAAAAATCATAATTCATGAAATTTTTAGAGGGTATGATGTTTCTCAAATTTATAATATATATATATATATATATATAATGAGTTTTATTATGATTACTATAAGAAGGAAGGATGACTTAGTTCATTTTTGTATTACTTTTTTCAATTCATTCCATTTCATTCTTTTCTAGTGACCAAACATGACCTTTATCTACCATAAATGCTATAGTGCATGTTTAGATTAACTTTCAACTTTAGTTAGAATCAGTCAAATTGATGTTAAGATATAAAAAGCTCATTTTGTGTTGTTTGGATTAGGAAAAAAATCTCAACATCAATTAGCCATAAACGAGCATTTTTTTGAAAGCCCAAAAACTTGGCTTTAGTATTAGCATTAATGTTAGAAGCCGTTGGAAGCATTAATGATGTTTTAAATGTTTATGCTTTCTCTCTCCTCTTAGCTATCTACCCACAAGTCTGTCTAATTATTTTATCTTGCTTTCTTCCTCCCGTGACCTCTCAAGCTGTATCTCCAAATCTGCTTTACCTCATGAGCTCTACATTCGATACCTAACCTTGGTTGATCTCCACCTCAGTTGAAGCACCAAGATCTCCACGCTAAAGCACCAAGATCTTCACCTTTCGATCTTGCGTCTAGCATTCCCTGCTTGGAAGTGGTTTCTCCACATTACTGATTTGTCACCTCTCGATCTCCACCGTGTCAACCAAATCTGAGGTTGCTGTTGCCAGATTTACTCCTCGTCGACTATCCTTGGCAAGTAAGGTTCTTCCTTTCGTCTCATTCCTTGCCTTCCCTGCTTCTTTTTCTTTTTTAGTGAATTGTGACCAACTTTTCTTTTTGGCTTCAGATTATGAAGTCTAAACTATATGCTCATTTGATGCTCTACCTTCCTCACTCTGCTTCTTATCCATGTTGATTATGTTTTGGGTTGCATGAGAGACATGTTGGGTCCTTATCTTGTACTCGAGGATACATTTCTTTCTTGCTTGTGTCTACAAAATTATCTAGCATTTTCCTTAAATATGTATGAACTCTCATGATAATATGTCAAAATTAATATTTGTTTAAGTCTTCGTTAGCATAATTTATTTCTTGTTGAAAATCATAATTTAATTTTTTTCTAAAGTATTGTTTTATATGACAATGATTAGATACGTATTCATACAAATTATATATTGTTGAGATTAATTATTATTTCAAAAAAGAATCTAACTATAATTAAAATTTCTTATCATACTCTTTATTTTTACTAATAATTTTTAATCAAGTAACTTATAATTTGATCTAGATGGAAGTAATGATAATCTATATAAGAGACAAACAACATAATGCATCCTTTAATTTTAAAAAAAATTAAAAAAAAAACAGATAGTGCCTTATATCTATTTAAAAAAAAGTAAAAAAAAAAAAGCTGGTCATTAAGTCAAGCTACATTTTAAGGATCATCCTCTTAATGTCAAGAACAAATTTGAATGTTTAGCAATGCTTCTTTCTAATTGTGTTAGCCTTGAAGAATTGCTAGTAGAGATTTCACCTATTCCTTCTAAGAATCTGAAGCCAAAGCTAGACATTGGAAATGGAGCGATTAGAAGGCTTGATCAGTTACAATCAATTTTACTATTATAATATTTGTTATATCACATTTTGGAAAAGTCTTGTCCTAATCTTTTTTTTTTTTACAAGGGAGAAAAAAGTCTTATCCCGATCTATTCATAGCAGAATGTGAAAAAAAAGAAAAAGGAATAGAAAAGATCCTGATATGTTTGCCCTATAAAGCAACTTCAGTGTTGATTTCTCGATTTCGCTAATGCTGCTGTGTGTTCTTTCTTGCTATAGACTTTTCCTCTTTTAATAGAATCCAGGCATATAGCAGTTGTTTCCTTGTTTTAGGATTATTATTTTCATTTAGTTTTGCTATAACTCTACGATATGATGGTAAATTGATACATATATGCCGAGATATTTATTGATTTTGCATGTTTGTAATGGTCAGCTGGTCTATAGAACAATGAACAGTTTTAAAGGAAAGCTATGTGGAATTCAACCCTAATAGAAATTTTCATTAAGGAATGCTTGGAGCAAGTGTACAAGAAATAAAGGAAAGGAACTGCATTCAAAAAAAATGGGTGGCAAGCAATAATTGAGGGGTTTGAGGCAAAAACAGGAAAAAGGTATAAGCGAAAGAAACTAAAAATTAAAATGGACAACATGAAGAAAGAATGGAACATATGGTACAAATTATTTTCTAGTGAAATCAGCTTAGGATGGGACAGTGTCAAGAATATTGTCGATGCTCTGGATGAGTGGTGGGAGCAAAAAATCTTGGTATGGATAAGTTATTAAGTGTTTTTTAGATTAAAATTTAATTTGAGAATCTTAATTGTTGGTTACTTGAATGCTTGCAAGAAAATCTCCTTTATGAAAAACTTAGACATAAAAGGCTGAGGTTTGCAAGGGAATTAACCTTAATATTCAGGGATGTCCTGACAACTGGGGAAACATTATTTGTACCATCTGTTACTCAAACTCAAATAGTAGATGATGATGATGATAAGGATGTATACCACTCCACCATTAACCTTCAAGCAGGATCCAGTGATAGTAAAGAGGAGCTAAATTTATCTGACACTACAACACCTATGAGGGTCACTGATGAGTTGTTAGGCTTGAATGTCACCACAAATATTAGTGGAACTAGTGGTGATGGAAGTGAAGGCAAGAGAAAGAGGGTTGGGGGAGTTAGTGGGAGAAAAAAGCAAGAGGTCCCTACCTCAATGAGAATAGCAAATGCGAAGAGTGAAATAGCTAAGGATAATAGAGTTAGAACAGAGATAGTGACAAGATTTTGGCAAATGACATAGGAGTTTTTGAGGTTGTGACTCACCTAAATAGACTTCCAGAAGTTTTTAGTGATAAAGATTTGCATTAGAGATGTGTCAATCTTGTTCTGTACAAGCCTATGCGAGATACTTATTGGCAACTTAAAGATCATCTCGATGACTTGGTCAATTGGTTGAAGCACCAAGTCTATCATCTACTAGATTTTATTTCAAAGAATACATATGAATGAATTTTTATATAGGCTTATGATGACTTGACTTGTAATTGCTTTATTTTGACTTGTGGTTTGCTATACTTATGATGACTTGGTTTGTAGTGAATATTTAACTCTTATCTAATGCTTATCTTATGCTTTATTTTTTATGTTGTTGAATGGTATTTATATACTATGTATTTTATATTATATACAAATGATATTTACATACTAATTTACCTCAAGTTGAAAAATCATGGAAAAACATTTGTTTAGGCAATTGTATGCAACACTAGTTGATCTTGGTCTAAAGAAATTTAAAAAAAATAGGTGTTGAAGAAATGGTTGGAATGTTTATAAATACTGTTGGACATGGAGTTGGTACAAGAATGATTTCAACATTCAAGGAAAAATGTCCATAGAAATTTTATAAAGTATTAGCTGCCTGCCTTAACCTTTCCAATGCAAATATAAAGTCACTTGATCCTTTGTTTCAATGATGTCATTCAAAAATTCAAAATGATCCACGGTATTGGCCATTCTTTAAGGATGCTATAGGAGCAATTGATGGCACTCATGTACCATGCAGGGTTAGTGTTGCTGATCAAAACAAATTTATTAGAAGAAAAGGATATGCAACACAAAATATCATGGTTGTATGTGATTAGGACATGTGTTTTACTTTTGTCATTACGGGATGGGAAGGTACGGCTCATGATGCATGAGTGTTTGATAATGCTATATCAACTCCTTCAATGCATTTTTTGCATCCACCTTCAGGTGTATTTTATTAAAATTACTATAATTATTATGGCATGGATTTAATGTTGGTAAAATTTACAACACTTTTTTTTATTTAATAGGTAAATATTATTTAGTTGATTCTGGTTATCCAACACTAAATGGAGGTATCTTAGTCCGTATCGTTGCGAACGTTATCACCTTTCAAACTTTAAGCGAGTTGCAAGATTTGCAAACAATAATGAGGTCTTTAATTATTAGCATTCAAGTTTGAGATGCACTATAGAAAGAACTTTTGGAATATGGAAGAATAGGTTTGCAATTATATGAAAAAATGCCCAAATTTAAATATAAAACACAAGTTCAAATTGTTTGTATAACAATGGCAATACATAACTTTATTAGGAGAAATTCAATTACTGATAAATAGTTCATACAAGCTGAAGATGAAAGTTTAGATGTCCATGAGAAAGATACCGATATTAGTGAAGCATCCTTATCAAATCTACCTAGATCGTCAAGACAGATGCAGCGTGTTCATGATATAATTAAAGATTAACTTGTAAATTATATCAATTGAATGTTAATTTATTTTAGATTTTTATGATTAAATATTTAAGATATTTTACTTATTAGTTGTGATTTAAAGTTTAATATTTTTTACTTATTAGTTAGTCAAAAAATATAAACATGCTTATTTAAGATTTAATATTTAAAATAAAAAAATTATGTTTATTTTTACCATTAAATATTTTAACTAGCTTTTGAATTAAACCACCTAAATGAATTTCAGTTTATCTAACTAACTTTTGAAAAAAAAATGGTATCCAAACAAAATTCACTTACATTAACTAAAATTTCTTCTAATTTTAATTTGTTAATCTCAGTTAAATTATAATCTCAGTTATAAATTTTTTAATCCAAACACACTCATCAAATAAAATGGAGATGCAATAGTCGGTTAGATCCATGGCAGCGAGGAGAAGAGGAAGAACAAAAAGATTAAAAAACCAGGGGTGGAGGTTGTCTTTTGGGTATTAGAAATGGCAGTGTTAATTATTCCTCTTTGCACGTCCAAGATATTGATGTTAATATTATTAACATTAATATTATTATTAAATAATGGAGGAATAGGCGGCAAAAGATTTGCAGCGGGAGAAAGGTGAGGTAAGATACTTCTTGAACAGCGCAAAAGCTTTTGGGAAAAAGGACTCGTATTAATATTATTAAATGTTCTTAGAATCTGTACGCTTGTATACTATTTAAACCTTTGACCCAAAATATATATATATATACTACTTAAACCATAAAAATAGAGAGGATGAGATGATATCTAACAAATATCATGCTTTTGACAAAAATAAGAAGATAAATTATAATTACTTTACATATTTTCTTTAATTTCACAGAACTAAATTTTATTCAAACATTAGTTCTATGGTTACCAATGAATTTACTTTATTATTTAAACATGGATGTTATTTAAAAAATATTAAATTAATCACGATTGGTTCAACCATAAATTCGTGATTCAATTTCAAGGCAACCGTTAACTCTTAAACTATTATCTTGTTTGATGATTCAATCATAAGTTTGATTTTTAAAATCTTATATGTAACACACTACATTTTAACAATAGCAACCATTGGGCTGCTTTTGGACAAACATGATTTTTTTTTTTTTTTCATTGTGGCAGAGTTATTTTCTAACATGTCATGCCTATTTTAACCAATGTAAATATATCAATCCTGGTAATGGTTCACTTCAATAATTTAATTACGATTGAATTAATCATAAATAAATTAATATATTTTCTATATTATATGTTTAAAAAACAATTATCTATGATGATAAAAATGAATGTTCCTTTCAAGACCGAACTAGATCCAGAACCAATTCCTAGGTCAATCAGCCAAACCGAACCCTAAGCCGAAAAATATAATTTCAATGATAGTAAAACCAAACTTTCATTTTATCTTATGGGTGAATGACCCCCAAAAAAATAATAATAATAAGTCTCGAAGCTCGGAAAGCAAATCACTCAAAGTTTTCTGATTTTAAAAATTATTTTTATTTTTTAAAACAGAAATTTAAAAATTTGTTTAAAGAAGTGTTTTCAATTTAACTGTTTTTAAAACTGTTTTCATTTTAAAAAAACAAAACAGAAAATAGAAACAACTTCAAATTGTTTTAGTTTTATTTTTCTCATTTTCAAAATACACTACATTTGATTTTCATTTTTTTAAAAAAAATTCTAAAAACTATATTGCAAAACATTTTTTTAAAGACAAAAACCAAACAAGCACTTGCACCGTAAAATCCACCATTAGCTTCTGTCGTTGCGCCCTTTCGTCTATACCTTGGGGATCTTGCTATCATTTTTTCCACTTCCCAGTACAGTTCACTCAAGCAAAGGCAATCTTGGCATCAAGGATTTCTATGATTCTTATTGATAGAAAGCGTGAATTCCATCCCTAGTTTAGCTAACAGCTATGTACAAGTTCTTAGATAAGGACCTTCGGTACGTATAAGCAACCTCTCTGAACAACTGCCGGTGGAGGCTGACTGTCCAAGATACAGAATGAAGATGATTCAACGATTATATATGTATGTATGTATGTATTGTATAATATATCAATATGTAATCCCTCAAACCAGGTTCAGCAGAAATTCGAAGGCTAAGCAATCAACTACCGTGAATGTCTTGATATACTTTTCTGGATGCTTCCCAAAGTCGATGCTCAATTCCCAATTTCCTAAGCTCCACAAGTCCTTGGTCCACTGAAATTTTAAAGCCAAATTAGTAAAATACTTCCAATCATCATGAAAGCAAAACATATTCCAAGCATCATCTATCGTATATTTTAATATTATAAGACCAAAATAGTTGCAGAAAAATTCAAGATGCAAGTTAAATTAGAATGTATGGGTAAGGAAAACAAGAGGCTGAGACAGAGAACAGGTATATAGAGTTCCTTCCAGCTATAAGTTTCTCAATTAAAACACTTAAAAAGGGATAGTTTTCTATAATAATATAACACGCATATATATTTTAGAAACAAACTTGTAGTTTCTCAGTTAAACAATACACTGTCCTCTATTAATTAGTAAATCACAAGCTTGCCAAATTTTAATTGTGAAACATGACAACAAAAAGCAATGCATATATATCTTGGAACACAATAATGGCTGGGCTCTCATGGTAACGAAAGGAACACCCTCCCATTTAGTTGTCCTTGACCACGGCCAACTGAGACACTCCATGCATGTGAAAAGAGTCGGAGATGTAGATTTATTTCCTAATTAAAGGGGCCAAAAGGTTGGGACAAAAAAAAATTGCTTTATAAACAGCAGACAAAGATACAGTGATGATAAGTCCATGTTATGTAATACAAAGTGACATACTATAACAAGAATGTTAAGATGTTAGATAATACCATCGACAGCATCGTGCGAAGTAGGTGAATGCCTACTCCGACTGATCCAAAACTGAAGACGCTCATCGGCAATGTCCTCCTCTATACCGTGAGCCTTGGCTCTCCTCCAAAAATATGTCAGCCATGCCTGTCCAAGTGGAGTAATTTCACTCAGAAGACAAAAGGTTAAGCACAATAAACCATGCATCTTTTGGTCAAGACAGAGAATAATCCAGTAAAAACTCAATAAAATCAAAGATATTGGCCTGTTTGTTTTCTAATTTTAAATAAAAAATTAAAAATTTGTTTGAAGAAGTGTTTTCAATTTAATTGTTTTCATTTTTTGTTTTTAAAAACAAAAAATAGAAACAACTTCAAATTGTTTTGGTTTTATTTTTCTTGTTTTCAAAATACACTACATTCGATTATTAAAAATTACAATTACCTCAATCAATTCTATCATAAATCACCACCATTATTAGTCTAATTTTCAATTCTAAAACTGTTTTTAAAATTAACATAACCAAACGGATTTTTATTTTGTTTTGCTTTAAAAAAAACAAGTTTAAAAACTGTATTGCAAAACAGTTTTTAAAAACAAAAAATGAGAACATAAACCAAACAAGCACTAAGTAACTCTCCAATCAGTATCAAGAACACCACTAATATTGAATGAGAAGGTAGAAACGGCAAGCAGGGTGGTGTCCAGTACATATACAAGCACTACAGATGTTAAAGCAGTAAAAGTTAAGATTTTAATTTCAGGACACATGCAAACCACAAAAACAAGCAGCTCAAAGAAGGTGAAAATATTTTGCAATAGACACAAACTTTACATGGAACTTGCAATAGAAAAGAATCAATAGTTTCCGAGAATGGAATACCTCCTTAAAAAGAACGTCCTCAGACTCCTCTGGACTCAAATCTACAAACACAATAAAATATTTAGCCCAGATTTAACTTATCAACTGCAAGAAGGGGATTACATGCAGCAATCCGAGCAACTAGTAACTGAGAGGGTGGGAAGCAACTAACCAAATGCCTCCATAAACTTGGGATCCCGTGGTGATTTAAGATCTGGTAATGTCCAAAAGTGTATAGAATGTTAGACTGCTAGGACATCTGACACTCATTTTAATTTGCAAAAGAAAATGGCTAAAAGATGAGTCAAGTTCTTCTACAGTCAATTACTTTCATCATGTGTCCTATGCATGCATATGTAAAAGGGCAAAGTTGGCAGAAAGAAGATTTTAGATTGGATTTAATTATAAACTAAGACCTGGGGGGGAAAACAAGGGAGAATATCAGTGAAGGACCCCTTGAAAGAATTTAATATCTGACAAGAACTTCAAACAAGTAAGCATTAACAATTAACAAGTGAGGTTCAAGTGTTAACAAGTATCCATTCCATCCAAGTTCTTGTCTGATATTAAATTATTTCAAGTGTCTTTCATTGATATTCTCCTAAAAAACAATGCCCCTACAGATTTGTGGTTATTTTGATAAATTTAAAGACTACATTTGAATTTAATGCGCACTGCTTGAACTTACAATGACAAGAAGAAAAGTGACTAAAGCAGCTGTCTATGAAAATCGCCAGCTTACACATTGCATACCTGAAACAGATTGTCGAGCAGAACTTGGACGCCGTTGTTGGGCTAATGCAAGCACAATAGCATCCTCAACCTTAAAATAAATAGAAAAAGGAATATTAAAATTAATAGAAACAAAATGGTGGTTACATATAGTGACTCCTTAGGGAGAAAGATATCACCTGAGCAGTATATATGATGACACATGCACATGACCAGAAAAAGCTTAATAAAATGGTTGAATTATGCAAATAATACATATAAAAAGATCATGAATTTAACAAGATCATTGATGCATTTGAAAAGAACCTTCAAGGAAGCAAGCTCCTTTAGCCCCATTTCAACTGAAAGCATACTTTCAATATTTCCTTCTCCAGTAAGATCATTAAAATCCTGAACAAGTTTGCTCCTCTTCTCAGGTGCATCCTCACCTGTGCATAAAGGTGGAAAAAACACATCTCAATTTGATTAAACATTGAAAAATCATGGCCAAAGGAAAATAACTTATAGAATGTTATTCTGACATGCAGCCAAAATAACATAAGTCAAAATCTCTATCCATGCCTTTTTCCCAGCATTCCTCCTTAGCCTTCTGCCCTGCAGAAACAACCACCTCAAATGGAAGAGGGGCTAGGGATGACCAATGTTCATACTTGGAAACAGCAATATCTGCACAGATGCCTAGAAAACGAAGCAAAATTATAAACAAAGAGAGTAATACATTATCCACTAATGAAAATCAAACAAATTCAAAAGTAGAAATGCACACCAAACAATAATCCAAAGACAACTAACCATAAAGTCCAACTGAACTTCAAAAAGCATGTTAACCTCAACCGTGTACATGTCAAGAGATACCAATATGACAAACTATGCCACAACGTGAATCCCATGTAATGCATGAATTCTCAAAGAATGAGCGGCATTATTCATGATTTATGATTAATCTGACGCATTTCACATTCCTAGACCCAAAATATAATTATACTCGCATTGAACATACATTAATAATAGGAACTTAGCCATAATTTAGTAATACACACATATATATACTGATAATTATAAAGCTCTGAAAGCATGATCAAGATCTGCTAAGATGATCAATGTGTGGAAACAATTGATATTATAATAATGGTCAACTCAAAATGAGGTTCCTTTGAACTGCCTCAAAAGAAAGAAAAAAATGACATAAGAAAAAACATACTTACCATATTTTGCAGCTAAACCCCAATAACGAGCAAGCCAACACCTCTTAAGAACAACTTCTTCCTGAAAAGATGAAATTCAAATGACAAATTTCCAAGAAACTAAAAATTGAATCCTGTGGTGATGGTAATACATACCATTTCTTTCTGAGTTAATACCATTCTCTGTGTCATTGATCGAAGAGCTTTCACTTCAGATTCAGCCCCATGAAGCTGACTAACTGCAGCTGCAGTTTCAGCTTTTGCATTCTGAATCAGGAAAAGGAGGGTGATGCATAAAAGACACCAACAGAGAAATGATTTTAAAGAAATAATCTTTCTTTTTCTTTTCCATCCAGTGGAAAATATGTTGAGAATATAATAAAATAGTCATTTACCTCAACTTCAACATGTAGAGATGTTATTTCCTTATTGAATCCAGCCTTTGAGTCTTTTGCATTTTTTAATGCAGCCTGTGAAACAAAAGTTTTCTCAAAGGTACTTTGTAGTGCAGAATAAGCAAAGCTTGCTAATCACCTGAAGAAGAATAGCTCAACCTCTATATAGAGCAAATTAACTATAAATAATATGTAGTCAATGGTTATTTAAATTTCAGAATCTTTAGAATTTCCCAATTACCTCTCTCTGACGCAATGCAGCTTCCTTTCTGCAATTCAATTATTTAGGATGTCATCATATACTCATGCTACTAAGGGATCTGCAAATGTTTTAACTAAAATTCACCTGCTCAAGAGTTTAGCTTCCAAAGATACACCTTCTCCAAGGGCAGCAACCTACAGATTAAGGGACAAAGGAAGACTGAACATTATGTATGAGCAAACGTGATACTGTCTTCTATAATATACACAAATGCAAACATTTAAACATCAAGGTCATTTACAGAATATAATGATCCCAGTTGATACAGAACTTTAGTTTCATCAATCCTAGGATAAACTCTTCTAGCATGGCACAGTTTTCAAAGGCAATTCAACTTTTATTCACTCTCGCCAGGTTAAATGCCAAAAATTAAAGATTCTCATAGAAAAATAATGAAAAACTTTCTAAACACAGATGGTGACTTGAAAATTACAGAGTTCTATACTCTACTTGAGGTGGACAAGAATAAGCACACATTCATCAAAGCAGTAGGATCACTATTGATTTGTGGAAACTCAAATTATATGTTTACATACACCAGTAAAGAGATAAAGGAAGTATGAAGTACCTGTTTTTCAAGCTCCCTAACTCTAGCCTCTGCCTCTTCACATCTCTCTTCCTCAAGTCTGAGCTGTACAGTTTAGAAATACTCCAATATTTACATGTGGTCTCTCTGTTATTCACTGATCACAATTAGAAGAGAACTAAGGAAAAAAAAAATTATATCACCTTCTCAAGAACACTCTCATTCTCTTCTTGAAGCATATCAAGCTGCAGAGACAACAGCAATTAGTTTTTGATCAAATTTTACAAGGGCAGAATGGCATATACATAAACCTTAACTGTTATCATCAGTAGCCTTTAGTAAAAATCTATGGTAATACCTACTAACACACCTCATCACGAAGAGAAGAAGCCTGGTGCTGATTTTCTGACTCTTTTGGTTTAACTAGTCCAGGATCCAATGAAAATCTGCAAAGCACCCAAGTCAACAATCTTCAACTTGTTACATTACAAATAACATGCAATTATGCATCTGTGAGCTTGAAAAAAGAATGACCTAAGAAAAATAAATGGATTACACATTTGCAAACATATTCCAAGTATAATTAAGAGATTTTGAACTGATAGCACTGATAGATTCTGAAGCTCGAGATAATTTTCAGGAGGATGAGATAGAACTGATAGCAGGAGAGGGAAGTCATAATATTTGGAACACGAGTCAGAATCTAACTCGTACACTGACCAAACCCAAGGAATCTCTTCATATAAATTGAATATGCAAACATGTATCTGTGAGTGTGCAGATGTGCTTGAAGAAAGAATAATCTAAGAAAACAAAAGGATTACACATTTGCAAACATATTTCAGAGCCATGATAGATTCTGAAGGTTGAGATAATTTAAAAGAGGATGAGCTAGAACTGAGAGAGAAGAAGAGGGAAGAAATAAATGGTTTGTAAACCCCAGGTTAAACCCAATTGGACTACTAACCCTTGAACCATTGCCTCGACCAGATCAATAACTGTTCTAGTTTTCAGTGCCTTGATAGGTCTAGGTGCACATAAGAAATTTTTTTGCATTTGGAAAAAAAATATGCCCTTCCTATTTTGCCCCCAATAAATTAGAGTATAAAGTAGTTGAATAACAAAGATATAGTATAAAAGAGAGAAAGTGGATGGTTGAGGATAATTATGAGGGATATTTTGGAAAACAATACATCAAATATTCTAGAAGTGTGTAATATATCTTATATTAGCTAACAAAATTTTAGAGCATCAATATCCAAAAACTAAATATGGTTCTTTCATCATATAGATATATCATGTATGAGTTTTATGAATCAAAGAAGCAAATATGAACTTCTATAATCACCTGTAGATAATAAGCTGATTTATGAGATATAGGAAAGAAGGGGAAAAAACTACAAAGAGTCTATTCAGGGGACTAAAAACATCTGGGAAGCAAGTGTGCTATGAACAAAAACTTGGACAGACTCATCTGATGACAATGAGTTGTGCAGCTCTATTGTAAGAAAGGAGGAAACAATGACAAGGATGCCCTCCAAGTTTCTCCAAATGAATTCAAACATTAGTGGAGAAACAAATGAAGCAGTGGTGAACAGAAATTGAGGTCAAGCACCTCAGTTTGATTCATACAATGGATACCCACCAAGGAACTGTGCATTTCCCACAAAATTCTCAAGGACTGAGTTTCCCAGATTCCACAGAGTTGACATTAAGGAATGGTCATTTTTCTGTAGGCAATTATGTGAGATTGATGAGAGTCAGATGGACCAAAGGATCAAGCCAACATGCGGCCAGTGGGAGGGAAGAGCATTAAAGTGGCATCATAAACCCCAATCAAGAACATTGAACCAGGAAAACTTCCATTCAAGTGACTGAAGTGCCCCATGAAACTTCACCAGGAACAAACTTAGCTTTGTACTTGACAACCCCATTAATTAGCTCACCAGCAAGATGATTGCTAGTATGGCTCATCTCATATTTCATATGCACAATACGCACATTATAGTTCAGCTTAACTCCACAAGAAGCTGCAGATCTGTTCATCTTAAATTAAGAACATCAATATGATTTCCGAACATACAACTTGCAGAGCAAGAGAAGCGGGATCAACATCTACTTAGCCATAATGCACTAGTGACTTAACATAAAGAGGCAGCCCTCACCAAGATTTGATAAACTCCTATGTTAATTGTACTTCACTTGAGACTTTTTTTTTATTTTTAACTTACAAGGCTGTGGCATAACACCACATGTCAGCTAAAAGCAAATTCCTACAACCCAAGGGGGACTATCAATAATGATAAACTTTGCGTCCATGCAGCGCACACAGAGGTGTTTCAATTGGGAATTAAGAGAAGAATTAGCAATGCCACAAAAGTTATGAAAATATTAACATAAATCATTCAATGAATTATTTTGAAAAAGAACACAAGATAATTATTATTAGTATCATGAAATATTACCTTTTATCTTTGGGCTTAATAACAGAAGGCTCTATTGGAAGAACGGGAGCTGGAGCCTTTGGCTGTGTTCTAGTTGGTGGTATCACAGTTGCTTGACGAACAGACATTGAAGGTCTTCCAGCTGATGTTGATCGGGCTGATGTTGCTTCATCTACCATGTTACGAGCTAACTAAAGAACAAAAAAGCTCTATCAGCAATGAATCGACAGAAAATTATAATTTATTGCAAGCGTGAATCGACGACGAACCTAATAGAAGGCTTAACAATGCATATATACAAACATTTGGCAACGGATTCAAGTTAACAAAAATTTTTGGTCATACTACATCAAATCAAGAACCACAATCACTCTTGGCGAGGCCATGGCAAGTCCTGACAAGATAAATTAAACAATAGTACATGTCTCTCGAATTAAATAGACAATCCTGTCTTCGACCGAATAAGACTCCCAATAAGCAAGGAAGTTGTCACAGGAGTAAAAACTGAGTATCTAAATTACAAGGGACATGAACCAGTAAAGTAAGATCCACAACTGGCCGACACGAAATCCAAATGTGGGAGCTTATAACCCACAATTCAGGCAACAAAATGTACCATAAGATTGGCCGGCTTGAAGCAGCATCACAACTTAAATGAACAGTGATAGTAGCTGGGAAGAGGTCGTGACGAATCTCGTCGCAAACCAAGTACTGTATTCAAAACAGAGCAAAGTAGAAAAAGCAAAAGGAAAAGAGAACGCATCATAAGCGAAACGGAATTGAAATATTTACCGCAGGTGACGGCGATCTATTAGTTGAGGCAGGAGGAACAGAGGATTTGCTAGTCCTGGAAAGAGACAAAGGAGGAGGAGCAGTGTAGCGAAATCCTAAATCGTAATCGTCTTCTTCGTCGTCGTCAGGAGTCTGAGACGCCATGACCTGAGCAAGGCGCTGAGCGGCGGCCTTAGCAGCGACATTCTGGGTCCTTTTGATATTGGAGATTCCAGAGACGGAAGAAGAGCGAACGTGGCCATTACGTGCCGGCGAAGTGATGCCGGATTCGCTACTCCAATGGCGGATAGAAACCGGACTCTGAGTTCCTTGTGGATCCATACGCCTCCAACCACAATGCAAGAGGTGCTTGCCTCGCCTGGATCTTTGAGTGAACTGTAATGAAAGTTCTTTACCGGCTAATCCAATATTTCAAGCGTGTTTGTTTTCGAGTGAGACTAGAGTATTGGAGTGTGGAGTAGACTTTAAATACTTCAATTTATTACTTTCATTTATTTTGAATGAGACAGCGGCCCTTGACGCTCAGAAACTTGGCTTATCTTTAATTTTTACTCACTTCCATTTTCAATTCAACATTATTTGACACTAGCAAGTCGCAAATGCTCCTAGTACTTTTGTTTTTCGCTGAGGAAACAACTAGTATTTTTGTTAAAACAATACTGATGTACTACTTAGCTTTATTCGTTCATTTATATATATATGTTATACTCATGTTCAATTAAATTAAATAATTAAATTTTAGTATATTAATAATAAGAATTTGTTATGGAATAAATTATATATAAATTATTGGTATTTCTTTATTTAATTGAAAATAAACATCTTAATTTTTATATATTAGCTTTCCCTTTTTTATATGCTAAGAAAAGTATATTTAATAACTTTTTAAAAAATATAAAGTGAATTATATAAAAAAGAAGAATCAGGCTTAACGTACTCCTGTTTCATTTTTTTACTTGATATCATAATCTTAAGATTTTTCATTATTCTAGAATCATGTTTTAACATTTTTAATATTGTCATTGGCTATATATAAAAATTTTGGTCCCATTTGGTTACTAAAAATAAATAAAATAGAATGAATTAAAAAAATCAATATAAAATAATAAGTATGGTAAAAATGGTTAATAATACTATGAATGTAGGAATTATTATATCTTTCAAAAATATCGTAAATTATTATTCTCAATCTCATAAATTAAATTATCCATTTTTTTATAAATGTAGTTCATCATCTCTTTTGATCATATCATTTTAACTTTTATTTTTTAATATATTATATTGCATTTCTTTCTTGTAACTAAATGAACCTTTATGTCAATTAATATTTAAAATTAAATTAAATTTTATAAATATGAACTAGTAAGTTATAGTAATATGGGAAATTTTAGATTTGGTATTACTCAACAAGTGTCTTATGTGACACATTGACAATTGTTTACTTTAATCAAATGATAGATTTTATTACATAACTTTCAGAAAATATTAAATATCAAATTTTAGAAGAGACCACATATGGAAAAAAATATTATGATCATAATGATTTTATTAAAGTTTTAGAGATAAATGTTTCTTAATAATTTTCAAATATTGATATGGAAATCATTTCTTAGGGAAAAAAAAACAATCCCCTAAATGATGTTGAGATTTTTCAAAGAATTAGTCTTATGATTGCCACGTGTAGGGATGCCTTAGAAAACCAAAAAAAAAAATCCAACCAATAAAATTAAAACACTCATTGAGTGAATCCAAATTTGGAAATGTTAGCTTGCAAATTTCAGAAAATCAAACACACAAAGTAATTAATAATTGTTTTATTAGTGAAAGTAAGTCGTAACAATTTCCTTATATGTGCACAAGCGGTGATTGGCTATTCAGTCCATCAAATATTCAAATACTCTTCTTTTAATTTCAAAATAATTTTTATTTTAGATTTTTTTTAACAATTTTAACTTCTATTGGCTTACGGCTCCTAGTTGTATAATAAGAAAATATATGTATGACATACTCCGAAATTAAAATAGAAATTATTTTAGTCAAACATAATTTAATTTCTGTTAAATATAAATTATTGCATAATTTTTAAATTATTATGTATTAGTCAAACAAAAATTCTAGGCAAAAAAGAAAGTTAAACAGACATGATTTTGCAATGATTATAATATTAAAAATTATTTTGTTGCAGAATAATTAAAAATTTGAATCCGATATACAAAGAATTTAAAAGATTGTAAATATCAAAGTTGCATGAAGATTGTGTTAAATTGGATTAAACCTAACTCCTAATTGGGAGATCACTCTAATACTTATGTTGGGTTCAAGTTTTGTACCCAATACTTGATGGTCTGACTCGTAGGGATGGAGATAAGAGAATCAACAAAGGTCACAGATTTTCTAACTTTTTAATTTTTTTTAGTAAAATATAAAGGTTATATAGTTTTGACACTTTAAGTTGGTATATTATAAAAGCCTTAAGATATTAAATAAAATTTTCATTTCAATTACATAGTAGTCTTTACACATGTATAGTGCAACTATTGCAATAGCTTAAACATATAATTGTCATAATATTTACTTATTTTTAACAAGTTAATATTACAGTTGTTCTTAAAAAATTGATATAATTTAATTTTGCTTTCATTTTATATTTAATAAAATAAATTATAAGAATTATAACTAACAAACTTTATAAAGTATTATAACAAAAATTTCAAAATATATTGAATGAAGAACATATTAATTGAAAGAATAAAATAATAAATTTAATAAGTAAGTAATAGAGTTTTTTATATTGAACCAAGCTTTAGATCCCAATAATATATTTAAATTATTCAATGTTTATAGGGGAGAGGAAATCTTCACCAATTTAATAATAGTTCATATTAATAAGAAATTTTAAAAAAAATTATTGTAAATATGATAATTAATTATTCTTATGACATGAAAAATTAATGATTAAAACTTAAAAAATAAAGATATATATTTATTTTTGTTATATATATGTATAAAATTGAACATAAATATATATGTTAAAATATTTATGTTATGTTAGTGATATGTATAGATTTAATTTTCTTTTAATTATTATATATGCTTTGTCATTTCAGTCCTTGAATAAAATTTTTTAACTTTGCCCTGGCTGACTCAAGCACAATCAAGCACAAGGTTAGATCAAGCTTGCCACTCTGGATTGCGTCATCCAGGAAAATAAAAAAGATAGTTTTCAAGATGAAATAATGATCTTCTTCAATCTTCAAGTTTGAAAATGCAAAAACTATGATTAATAGACTAGAAATCCAAAAAGAGCTAAGATTGAATTGAAATGTGAATCAACACATGAATCAATAAATTATTAAATTAATGTCTTAATCAGTTTAATAAAATATTTTATTTATAATCAGTTTGATCATAATTTTATTACCATTTTGATTATTAACTACCTTAATTAACTTAATGGTCAGTCTATTTTTTAATTACTTACTCTACAGACAAAGAAGGGATAAAGAAAAGAAGAGGAATGCTCGGGTCGGACAGGGTTACTGGATTTGGTTTTATGCACAGGAAAAGTCATGTGATTATTTCAAAAAGTCTTGCCCCTTCCGATCACGCGTCTCTTTCACATTTAAAAAAAAAAATTGTTAGGAAAAAAACATGAGAAAATGACAATTAAAGACCCTCTAAAAATATTAATTCCAAGTAAGAATCATAACATTTTAAAATTCCAATCAAGAACCATGATCTTTAATTGAGATAAAAAAATATAGTTTGTGAGATGAGATTTATTAACACCACTAAAGAATTCACTAACCCAACTTAAGAAAATTGTTAATATATATTGTGAAAATATGAAATTTTAAATTAAAATGATTGTTTAACAAAAAGCATGACTTAAAATTTACTAACTCGACTTAAAAAAATTTTAAAATATACTGTGAAAATATGAAATCCCATTTAAGAATTGATTGTTTAACAAAAAATTCTAATATGGACAAGTCACTTTTTGTTAAAAAATCGATTCTCAAGTAAGGTTTCATTTTTTCACAATATATATTAAAATTTTTTTAAGTTTGGCTAGTGAATTTTCAAGTGATGCTTTTTGTTAAACAATTAATTTTCAAGTGGAGTTTCATATTTTTACAATATATGTTAGAAATTTTTTTAAGTCGGATTACTTAATGAATTCTTAAGTGACACATTTTGTTAAACAATCGATTTTTAAGTAAAATTTTATGTTTTTACAATATACATTAACAATTTTCTTAAGTTGGGTTAGTAAATTCTCAAGTGATGTTAGTGAATCTTATCTCACAAATTATATTTTTTTATCTCAATTAAGGACCATCATACTTAACTAAGATTTTAAAATGTTATGATCCTTAATTGAAATTAATATTTTTAGAGAGTCCTTGATTGTCATTTTTCAAAAAAAACATTGTACTTCTTTTTTGTATGTTGATATAAATTTAAGTTCAGAATTCCAATATATTTTTTATATCATTTAAAAATTAAAAAAAAAAAAAAACTTCCCAAGGCTCCCATAGAAAAGGCCATATGTTGGCATCAATATTTATAGAATTTTTTTGGCCAGAATATTAAAAGAATAAGAATAAGAACAAGAACTTGATAAGTAATCTATAAACACCTTCACACTCACATATGTCCATTATGTACCCAAAAAATGTTACTGAAATCATACAAGGATAAATTCATAGAATTTATAAGCCACCCACACTCACATTCCTGCATGTAGATACAACATGAATTGGATGAGACTTTTTTCCCATACTGTTGGGAAAAATGAAATGAAAAGGGAAAATGTTTTTTTTTTTTGGGGTTAAAAAAGTTACATGAATTAGATCCGAGAAATTATCAAGATCACAGCATGTCTATAAACTCAAAAGATACTTACTGAATACTTACAGATTGCTTATTAATAAGTTATAAATCAAATTATTATCAACTAAACAAGCCTTTCTTGATAAGGAATACGATTGTTAAGATGGCGTCGTCTGGGAGGCGTGGCTTCGTATGAAAGCGTTCAAGTCCGTATGTTCATCCACTAACCTCTGGACACGTGTGCAAAACAGTCGAATGGCTTCTCTGTTGTTGTTGTTCGTCCTTATCAACTCAGTCTGCTCATATAAATTACCCTCCGTCAGCTTCAAAACCCTTAACCTTGTGTCTGCTATCTCAGCCTCCACCTTCTTCTCCTCTGATGCCTTCATCCCACCACCCAAACGCCTCGTTCCATAATTTACAGTATCAGCAGAAGCAGTAGTAGAAGAAGAAGAAGAAGATGATGATGATGATGATGATGAAGAATCGTTCTCTAAGTTTAAACGTGGACTTGCCAGTTGCTTGTACCTTCGAGCCAGGGAGCCATAGGATCTATGCAAGTCGTGGATCGTGCCTACTAACTCAGGTCTTCTCATGTAGAACATTTCGGCTCTTCTCGCGAACGAATCTCCATCGTTTTGATCGACAATACTCACCATCACTTTAGTCTTCTCGTCAAGATCTGTTCATCATTCATATGATAATTAATATATATCACAAACCTGTTTTCCCAAGACCAAACCAACCTATTGAACCCGAAGCAATTCAAGCATCCATGTCGCCTTGAAAGAAATACATAAAACTAGTTGAGAGGGAAATTAAAGGACCTGAGAGCGTAGTTTGAAGCCATGGAGATTGAGGACGACAACTATGGCTATCCTGCCACCATGAAAATGAAGCAGCTTGGTCCTCTTCTTTTGCACTCTTCATTGATCTGAACACACTCTCAATCGCCGGGTCTCTCCCAATGTCTCAAACTATTGGCCTCGTGTACTATATTCCCCCACAACCTATACATGCGTTTTAATGTCGTTATCATTCCTTTTTTATTTATTTTTTCACAGAGCTTTCTCGTACGGTTTTGACAAACCAGTACCAGCAACCTTGCTTTGCTGATCTCATTATTCCCCATCATTACGAGCCTCTCTTTTCCCAATTTCAAATCAGCTCTTTCTTGAACCATAAGCATTCATTACTCATCACCTTCCTAATTGCGAGACTTTACATTCCCATATTACGTTGACATGTCAGGCAATCAAATGAAGTCATTATCATCACCTACATGCAATATTTTTGACGTCTTTTTCTCCGGAAACTATCCTCATTAACGTTATTTGTTATTATTGCTATTATCAATCATGGGCACTCATCTTTACAATCCCCTTTGATTCCCATATCTCATGGCACGCAATATTTTGACTAATGAAGAAATGTGTTATTTCCTCCATTGTAAGTTAGATAAAGATGAGTTTTCTTACAAGGCACGTCTACCAACTTCATGATAGGATCAGAGCAACTACAATTACTAAATACTTTATACTTGTATTAGCCAATGATAGATGTCGTGTAAGAATATCGCTTATCACAACACCTAAGGATCAGACATCACTCAATAATTAATCCTTTCAATATTAATCACTTCTTTCAATAAGTATTCGGTGTATCTTTTATTTACATCTTCCCAGGCGTAATTTTAAAGGCAGTAAACCACACCTTTTTTTTTTTGGCGAGACGCTCAAACTCAATCAAGCACAAGCACAGATTCGTGTCTGGTATGGATGGGATATTCCTTTTGTTCTCTTTCCTTTTTTATTTTCTTTTTTCACTTTTATTTCATTTCTTGCTTCTTTTTTATACGGAATGGTTTCGGCAGGGGTCATTGGTGTTCATAAAAGCAATCAGCTTGAAAATTGCTGGACATTTTGAAACTAATTAGGGCAAAAATAAGAAAACGGAAATCTTTGTAAGAAACGGAGTTAACCCCTTGAAGATTCAGAAGCAGACATGGAATAGTGGTCCTTAGTATTTGCCAGAGACAAGGTGCAACTTCTGTGGTCCCTTCTTGGCACAGCATTCGAATATTTCTATTCACATTGTCGGACAAGGATGCTGGTCAATGGCGATTGCCAGACCCTATATGAAAACCACAAGCATGATGCCCTTTCATCCATCCCTTTCTCTCTCACTCATCATAGAAACCGTAATCCAGGGCACAATAACCCAGATTCAGTCAGCAATTTGCAAAGGGTGTTAATAATTATCCCGGGTTAAGGCAGGCTTAACTTCAACTTCAAAAACTTGAATAGGGTAGTTCCATTATCATCAATGAGTTAAACCTGAAAGTAAGGCTTAGTTTATATATCCTGTCTTTTTCGGCCAACTATGTATCCTCTATTTAATGAATGCAAGCTGACGCCCAACAAATTTGGGCCCACAAGTTCCGGCTCAGCTTGAAATGATATAACATGGCGTGGAAGCTCTATGTAATTCCTCCGAGTCACCAGTCATGTCAAAATTTCAGTCCATAGAAAGACCCGAGTCATGGGGCCAGCTAAAAAATCCTCCATTAACTCCTGAGCAAACTGGCCGGTGTCATCACAAATGGATGGATTTGCACTCCTATCAAAATTGGCTCTTGGCCACCCCAGTCCACCCAGCCAACTTCTTGACCTGATGGTTTCACACCCAAAATCAATGTGATTCCTGATTTACGTTTCACGTATTTTAGATTACAAGAGAAAATTTGGTTGGTGAATTTTTATGGTTTAATGGAAAAATCCTGCTCATTCGCCCTCCTATAAAGCAAAGCCGATGCTTCGACCCTGTTTTTACACAAGGCATAAGAGAAGCAGCACACGCCACACTCATTAATAAAATAGAAACACAATTTGGGAGAGGGTAAGCAAAATAAATGAGATATCCTCACCAGCCAGGATGGACAACAAATCTTCCGTTGGAAATAGCCCAGTTCACCTGCTCAAGAGAGGACACGAAAAAGGAAAATTTTATTTGTTAGGTTTCAGAACCATTTTTTTAACAAGCAACAAAGATTGTCCCCATTACTCCTCCGGAATGGAAGATACTTGGTTCAGTTAATAATCAAATCTAAATTCTTTCAATTTAATTTAATCTATGTACATTAAATTTGACTGTTTCTAAAGTTATTGTAAGCTGAATTTTTTTTTTTTTGGTGAACTTACAAGTTAAAGACTTTATTTTGCCTTTTGTTTCTTCAATAGAAGTGTCAAAATTGTTTTTTGACCCAAAAAAAAAATTCAAAATCAAGAAGGTCTACATTAGTCTAAACGATAGAGATTTGACAATGAGGTGAAGTGTGAATCCCCTCAACTAAAGGGATCCAAGTTCAGAATCGAAGCTTCCACACCATATTTGATCTCAGTGGAAGCAAGGAGAATAGTGGAAGAGTTGGTGGAATGGACAACAGATTTTCTCACATTTTTTTGGCAAAGGGAATCCACTATTTCTAGTCATCATATGGTTAAAACTAAAAGGGAGAATTAAAGATATGAAATTTGTTATTTGATAAAAAAGTAATACAGGCACAAAAACGCACTACCCCATAAGACCATGGCAACTGCTATACCTTGTCAGTCCCCAGGGAATTGGCAACCACATGGGTAACCTGATCATCAATCTGGTTCGTGCAAACAGCACCAAATTGTTCGGCTGTCTGCCACAATGGATGCAGATGAGGATTGGCTTCACCAACAGGAAACACCCTGCTGAAAACTATGCGACAACCAGCCAAGATCCTCCTCTGCTCTGAAGCAAGAATATTTCTGACATCTGCTTCTTCTAGGGATTGAGAGGCAAAAAAAATTTGGTGTATCCTCTCAATTACCTATTTGAGGAAGAGAAACAATCATCAACAACAAAACAAAACAGTAAGAGCAACTGCCCCAAATCAAAGACAAAATTGACCATAACCTCACCGCCAAAGAAGATGCAAGGGTCCCATCTTCAGGTCTCTCATCATGATCAATCTCAAGAAGAGAAGGACCAGGGAGTCCAAATTGACGTCTACTACAGGGGAAGTATGTATACCTACAATATTAATAAACTTAGAAGTGATGAAGCAGCCAATCAGTGTATGAAGCAACAAGAAGATGTGTTTAAGCTCCAACCCAAGGTACACTGACCTCTCCACCACTATCAGGTTCAGTTTGTTATGAGGCCATACTTTCACTGAATCATCTATAATTACGACAGCTGATTCCATGCCCAAAACACCTTCTAAATCCTTGCTTTTGGGAACTCTCTCATCACCATCAAACAGATCAGTGTCATCGCCCCTAGAGATAACTCTCCCAGCAAACAAAACTCCTTTAGGATCAAGCACCTTTGCCATTTGGGTTGCGTATAGCTTGTTTCCCATGGTGTAAAGATGCAGCTCAAAAAGCTTACTAGCCTACGATGCATGCAGGAAATAAGCACTTTAGCTTATAATTAAACCTCAGTCCAGCATCTCACCAAAAGCATATTTCACTATTTATATTACCTTCTCCAAAAAATTCCAGATTCCTGGTCTTAGTTTGGTCCACATTCCCATATGAGGAAATCGAAAAAGATGTCTTTGAGCCTTCTCGCGGTCTTGTTCTTCTTTCTTTCTCAAGATCTCATCATGCACAGGATCTACTTCCACAAACTGAAAGGGACAAAGTTAAAATGCAAGCATAGAAACTCTCACTGACTAAAGAATTCGTTCCAAGCAAATTACCTTGGCTGAATTGAGAAGTGTGTGATCTAGATCCAAGACAAGGCATAACTTTCTAGCAGCAAACATTTTCTTCTGTTCTTCTATCCTCCTAGCCCTTTCTCTCTGTATTGCAGCTTTCTGCTGCTCATCATAGCCTACAAAAAGATGTTCAACATCTCCCCATGTACTAGGGGGTTGAGAGGAACCTGCTGTGTCTGGTTCAGCAGCTGATCCTGGACCAGTACGCAGGTTCTCAGGGTTTGACACTACAGATTTCAGTTCCAGTCTATCTGATTCAAGGGATCCTGCTGCAGAAGAAAAGCTTTGACTAACGGTGGAATGGCTTGATGGTGTTTGGGAAACGGAAATAATATCAGCTATATTTTTCAGATTCCTGGTGAATTGCCGGGCAATATCAGGTGGTGCAACTGTTTGAGAAGGCACCAATTTTGTGTCTGCCCAACCCTCAAGCTGTGGAGCATTTCCATTGTCCCCAATCCCCTGCATGTTTGATGCAGAGGGTACAGTGGCCTTTAATTGCTCACTCCCCATGCTTCCACTCTTTTGGAGAGTATTACCATGGAGAATGCGTCGTGGATCACGAGGTTTCATGTGAATTCTTGCTGAATCTTCTTGTAGATTTGGCACCTAAGCATTAAGCACGTATAAAAATGTAAACTAAAATCATCCAAGTATAATTAAGACACAAAATATTAACACGTGTTTCGACTTAAATTTTACAAAAATCAAGTGCATTAAATACAAAAATAATGCTAACGATATTGCCAGCATATATTAAAGATGTCAATACACTGGTTAAAGGATTTTACCGTGGAAGTCAATTGTGAAGAAGCTAAAGGAACTCCAGAAGAATTTTGCAAGAGCCCAGCGGTCTTTGATGGACCAACAGCCACAATTGAGTCTGCTCCCACAATGGAGCTTGTGCTTGGAGGATGCAGTGCAGTTGTAGCAGAATCAGCATATTTCTGTGTGGCTTCTGCTGCCAATCTTTGTTGCCCTACAAGTATGTTTAGCAAAATAGATGGGTTTACAGCTAAACCTTTCAACAAAGCAGGCAAGGAAGCTGTGACATTAGAAATTGGTGCCATCTCATTTCCATTATTTGTCGCATTACTTGTCACATTGAAAGTCCCAGAGCCAGTAGAAGGACTAAGTAATGCACTAGTAATCATTTTGGTTTCAGTTTCCACATGCTCTGACAACTGGTTCTTGTTCATCAACTGAGATCCAGCTGTAGAAGTCTCCTCCAACCGACCACCAATTCCAGCTGCAATTCTTACCTCTCTTGTATCACCCCCAGGATTTTCCATTTCATTTTTCTGTCTTTTTACAGCAACATCTAAACATGGAGCTTCAACAGCCTTTTGCTTCTTTGAAGTTACAGTTCCAAAATTATCAACTTTAGTTGAATTGTGTATTACTGGATGTCGATTAAGATCCACAGAACTTGCATCAGAATTAATGAATCGAAGCCTAGGATCCCGACTCTTGGCTGAAGATTTTACAGGGTGAGACCCAGATGTTGTTATTACATCATTTCTAGAAGTAACCAGTCCATACATGCTGGATCTGTCCACAGATGTAGATGATGTTGGTACCAAAAGAGAAGGCTTAAGAGTCCTTAGAGAACCAGCCCTAGATGCACTAGATACCTCCTCATTTGTATCAACAACCCCGTCATCACCGTTGTCTGATGGAGTTGGACTCGGAAGCTTATCATTCATCAAAAAAGAACTTCCACCAAACTTCTGTTGATAGGTAGAAACAGCTCTCAAAGCATCAGTCTCATAATGATGCAACTTAGAATCTTCACTTTCCTGTTCTATCTCACTAGAAAGCAAATTTGGTTTGACAAACTCCTCACTAACAGAAAATTTTTTGTTCACAGGGAAGCAGGATGGGGCTTCTCGAGTTGGGGATGGTAGGCTATCTACATCATGATCCTTATGAAGGTCTAGCAAAGGAAGCAAAGCCCCTCTACCTTTTACATTACTTTGAGCAGATTTCAAAACTTCTGGTACCTCAAAAGCATTACCATTAACCAAAGTCCCAGGAACCACAGTGTCTGAAGGCTTACCAAAAGAAACCGATTCACTAGAAGCACATAAGGCTAATACTTCCTCGTCCCTGACCTCATCGCTCAGCAATTCTTTTTCTTTACTGCAATCAATAGAGTCCAAAGAGGTAACCATGGACTGAATCTGTAAAAAAACAAAAAAGAAAAACATGTGTCAGATAATCCCATCTATTATTTTTTAGAAAGAACATCGTGAGAGGGTGATCGTCAGTCCTAAAAACAAGTTACAATGAACAACACCTCTTCCATATGGTCTGGAGAAAATATAAAAGGGCCTTGATTCTTCACAAAAGAAAGTAATCTGAAATAAAAATTGCAGTCAAGGTATCAAGTTAGTCTGGGTATGGTAATTAATTGCCTTCACGTTCACAAAGGTTACAATTATACAATACAAAGTTAAATCTGAAAACCTTATCAGGCCATCCTTGTTCTGTTCCCTTTCAGAATTGTTCATGGAGAAGAATGCCTACAATCAAGAAAAAGTATTTGGGAATTACAAAACAACTTCCACTGACAGAATGTATAAGTCCAATACCATTGGGTGACTGGGATAAAATACAAAAACGATAAGGTTTGCAATTTAATGAGAATGCTGGGGTTCCTACGGAATGGACAACTTTTATTGCATTGAGTGACGTTTGAATGAGAGCATCCTTTTGAGAAACAATGGTTGCGGAACTTAATTCCATCAAGCTCTGGAAGGCATTCTGAAGTTGACAACAAGTTTCAGCAAATGATCTACAAGAACGCAGAAAATCAATCAATAAGTGTTTTCCATGGCAGCGTTTGGGCAGTTAACATTAGAACCCCAATATCTGCAAAAATAAATCCTACAACTGTTTTACGGTTTTACTTACTTCTCCGCATTGGCCATGGTAATGTTCTCGATCACCTGCCGAGCGGTCACTTGCCTGTCCGATTCCATTGAGTGACCATCTGTAGCTTCGTCAAATTTCAAAGTTTCGGTCTTCTCAGCGAACTCTGCATCCATATCAATCTCACCCTCTTCCAATTCGCCATCCTCTTTGTCAACATCTACAACTTCAACTCTACCATCCGTTAGGTTATTACCAACTTCCTTTTCCTTGGGGTTGGAATTTTCTTTAGCATTGAGGGAAGGAGAAGATGAACGATTGGAGTTGTGATTAGAATCAAGGTCCATGACAAAAATGTCATTGAGAGGTTTATTCTGGACGGCTTGTGCCCAAGCTAGATTATACAATCCAGAAGCATAGCCACGACAAATGCTAGGATATTTGGTATAGAGATCACGCACAGCCCAAACCCTAGCATCCCTTTTGCGTTTGGTGAGATTAGGATCTTGGTTATTGAAATCCTCTTCAGTGATCTCTTCTACTGATGCCGTATCCGAAATTTCTCCCTCTTCTACGTCTTCGACTTTAGGGTTATGATCTTTAGCCATCTTAACTGGCCCCTGAATCTCTTTCAAATTATTCCACTTAACAAAATTGGATGCGCCACTGACCATATATACGTTTATTCAAACTTTTGGTCAATTACAATCCATTAAAATAAAAGGAAATTCTTACGAATACGAAGAAAAATAATTAACATGAGTTAAGATTCACTCCTCTCTTTCTTAAATTTGCCGAAAGATCTGACTACAATAGCTGGCGCCGTCAAATTGAGAGAATTTAGCGTGAGATCTGCTGAGCAGAGCTGGAGATCGTAGTTTGTTCCTCAGATCGAGACTACACAATAGCAATACCATTTGAAAAAGCAAAAGTAGATAGAGAGACGCCCGACTGAACAGAAACGAACCGATGAATGGTGAAAGAGGTTCGTTCTGGACCTCGGAGGGGGCTACTTTATATGAACGAAGCGAATCTAAGCCATACACGTCAGCGATCCGGAAAGAACAAGTAGGACTTGGAAGCAAATGTTTAGGAGGCTATATATGAACGAAGCAGGATATGCAAAGAGTCATAAATTATTTGGTACAGCATGTTTACCAAAAAGAATTAAATAAATCCCTAAAAATGTGAAGCAAAATTAATTTCATCGAGAATCTCATCCAGGGTTCTCATGAGAATAAGCTTTAAGGTCTTCAAATGAAATTAATTTTTTTTATCCAATTACATTTACACATAGTCTCTTAAATATATATATATATATATATAAACTTACCATTGTTGAAACTCCAACATTTGGCACTCCGACCATCAACAATGATCTTCCGACTAACACCGGCGAGATAAGCAAACGGTGATCAAATATAAAATATATGTTACCACTGAACGACCAAATAACTTAAGGCATACATTACAAGATAATATATATTATTAATTGTGTTTTCAAGCTTACATGAGTTGTTAATTTTAAATAAATTGTTAATAATATTGAACAATAACTTATTAATGTTTAAACATGACTTGTTAATATTTAATAAACAAGTTATCAATTTCTTAAAATCAACTTATTTAATTGATGGAAAGAAAAGAAACAAAGGAATAACTTAATATTTAAAAAGATTTAAAGATTGGGGATATTTTATTTTAATTGTCATTTAGGATATCTAAAATATTCATGTTTTTAATTTTAGAATTATTATTATCTTTATAAGAATTGTTATCATTATGTGTCTCCTTTGAACTTATTTCTTCTCTCCCTAGTTCTCTTTACTCTCTTTTTATCTCTTCTCTTCACCCTTTTCTATTTTTGTATCAATTAGTGTCAAAGCCATAATCCCACTCCACTTCTATTGCTGAACTCGCACTAAAAACACAATCTTCTACCTTGAGCCATAACATTTCATTCCAGCTCTTGTTTCTTCATGCTTTCACACTATTTACTTAGCTTGTTTTCATTCAAAACCTTCCTAGCGCCCAAAATCTTCATTATACAAAAGCATTTTTTGGGGTAAAGTTTTTAGTTTAAAGCTCCTTAAATTATTTAATAAGGCGTGTTGATCCTAAAATTATAAAGCTTTGAATTATGGTAGTTATTTTGTATTTTTGTGCTTATTTTACTTCCTTAATTTGCTTTTCTTGATTTCATATTTTTAAAATTCCCTTATTATCATTACTTCCTTTTACTTATTTTACCCTTGATTTTTTTCTTTATTTTAATCCTAAAAAAAAAATTATCTTGTAATCCTCTCTTTTTTAATCTTAGGACACATCCACCTTGTAACACCCTCAACTTAGACCATAATTAAAAACATATACTCAACCATACAAGAGAACTATCATGGTAATTCAAACTAAATGATTAATAATAAAGGATACCAAGGTAGAAAATGATCAACCTTGGTTATAAATAAATAAAATTTGGCTAAGTATGAAAAACCCGTTTATAAATAGGATTCTAAAATTAATTTAAGTTTGACATAAGGTTTAGAAGACCATTGGAACCTTTAAAATCAGAGTAAGAAGTGGTTGGTTGGGAACCATGGAAATCAAAAGGGGTCAAAAGGGTCATTTTCTTCAACATGAGTATGATTTGGTAGATCAATTAGACTTGAATTTCATATGTTCACAACTTGAAGAGGTGAAAGCTAAAATTGATAAACTCCAAATCTTTTTTCGATTCACATCACATGAAGGATATTATTATCAAATTGAGAAAGAAGATTCATATCAAAAGGGGAAAATTTTTTAATCTTATTAATAGTATCTTAAAACCTCACAAAGACCCTAATATTTTGGCTTATGAAAGAGATAAAATGTCCAATAAAGACCTTTTACCTATATTAGTGGCTCTAGGCAGCAATAGCATTGATGATTTTGAGATTGAGGTATGTGGAGACATAGACACTAAAGAAGCCAAATTAAACCATGTTGAAGTTTTCGCTCCTACTCTAAATATAAAGATGATTGAGACTCAAGAGGAAGCTAATATTCTGCAAGAAGAGCAAATATGGAAACAAATTTTACCCATGGTAGTTTTGAATTCTAAGACTATTAATAACAACATTCATTTTTATCTTGCTCCTATTCTACCTCGTTCGTCTACTATGCCTTTAAGTGATGAAGTTATTGCACTTGTGGAAGAACAAGTTATTTTTGAATCACATGATCCCCTCCATTATTATCTTATTCATTAGAAAAAATTTCTAGACTTGTACATTGTGATTATATACATGCTCATATTATTTGATGTTCATTTGATGTCATTTATTGGTATCTGATTTATTAGAAAGGGTTTCCTAATCAGAGACATAACTTGGAATCTCTTAATCACCCCATTATGCCTCCTGAGCATATATACAATTTTTCTCTTCCAAGGAAAGTTCTTCAAGCAAGGGAGAAATGTTGGAAAGAAAAGGAAGAAAAAGAATAATTGAAGTTTTGAGAAGATTTAAAATCTTTTTATTTTAATTGTCATATTAATTAAGAATATTTTGTTTTAATTGTTGTAATATTTGATTCATTGTTATATTTCAACATTTATTATTATCTTTATATTTAATTTTAAGATTTCTAGAATATTCTTATTTTTAATTCTAAGATAAGGTTGAGACTTTTATATAGTGCCTTAATTCATTTGCTTTATATACATCTTTTATTGAATGAAAATTACAATCATTTTGTCTTTCTTCTTGATTTCTTTCTTCTCCACCCCATTGTCTTTGCTATCTTCCTATCTCTTCCCCCTTCCCCTTTATGCATAATTATTTTGGGAAAACAAAATTATTGATGCCTATAATTTTATCATATTTTATTTTTAGTCCATATATTTTTTTAATATTTTTAGTCTATATGGTTTTAAAAAGATTATAGGAAATTTGTTTTTCAGTCCTTTATAGTTTTTTTTAATATTTTCCTTATAGTTTTAGTTTTTTTAATATTTTATTCCTTACAAAAGACTAAAAGCACTAAAAAAATTATAAAGACTAAACGCAAAACCAATGAAACTCTAAAAATCAAAGATTATGTTTTCTCATTAATTTTTATAACTTGTTTTTTGAATATTGACAAGTAATCAATATTGCTTTAAATAATATATATATATATATATATATTACAAATTTAATTTCCAAACATTTCCATGAATTTGTTGTTAATTATGCACAAATTGTTGTCAATATCCAAATATGATTTTGAATATTCAAGAAACAACAACTCATGAATATTAACAAGTTATTGTTTGAATATTGACAACAACTCATCTATAATTAATAATTCATAGAAATGCTTGGAAACAAAATTTATAATATGTATAGCTTAATATTGATAAGTTTTAAATATTCAAAGAAACAAGTTGTAAAAAAAAATCATTTGAAAAATTGACAATTTATTTCTTGAATATTGATGACAAGTTACTGTTTAAATATTAACAATAACTCATACAAAATTAACAATAATTCATGAAAATATTTGAAAACTCAAAATATATTATTTTATTTATCATAATATTGATAACTCGTCAATATTTAAAGAATAAGTTGTAAAAAATTGAACAAGTTGGTCTTTAAAAATTGACAACTTGTTTCTCAAATATTGACAAGTCATGTTTAGATATTTAAAAAAATCATATATGTATGTATGTATGTATGTATGTATGTTTGTATGTATGTATGTACGTAACCTCATTTATTATTTTGCACTTCCTATTTTAAAAGCCTTCATGTTATTGAGTCAATTTCCCTACTTAAAAGCAATTTATAAATTTCATGTTATGAAATATTTGTATTTCTAAAAATTGTTCTTACAAAAACATTAATGAGTAATTGACCAAGCTCTTCTTGTTTCTAAAATACTAGTGTCGGCATGGAAGGGGTCAAACATTCTCACATGCACCAAGTGTGTCAAAGAAATGAATCCTCAATTAGAGTATTATGGGTTCCCAATTTCTTTTATCTCAATTTTCTTAGATCATCGTGACTGCTTTGTGCGATAGGCTCAGCTTTCGAAGAAATCAAGTTCATTAAAGTAGCATTTAGATGGATGGACTCGAATTTAAATTTAAATTTGAAACCATGTATTAATGAGTACTTTATTTGGATAATGTAAGAAATTTTAAGGGTAAGAGACAAACTAAATTCGAAGCAAAAATAAAAGATTAAAAATGATGAACTTTCATATATTATTTAATCAAGTATATACGAGAATGAGATGCGAGAGAAGTGATCAAAATAACAAAGGCTCTAATGGTGAAAATGCAAAGAAAATTAGTGTGTTGAAGTAAGTGAAATTTCAAATAATTAAAATCTAAAAGAAATTTAAAATTACAAAAAAGTTATAATAAAACATGAAATTGAATTTCATCCAAAACAAAATCCGAAGACTTTTAAGTATTCAAATGAAAGACTTGACTCAAATTGAAATTCAAATTTAAATTCTCATGCATTCAAACTCACTCTAAAGAAAATGGGAATGAGTGTAATACAAATGAAACATCTAAGTTCCTAAAATGGTAGATAATCCTACGATAATCCTAGAGTGTCTAAGTTACAAATCCACAATGGATGAGGCTTTGTAAGTCAATATTTTAAAAGAGCAAAGCAACCAAAAGCAAGGATAATCCACACGTTATTTTTGGACTAAGATACGCACACATATAACAAATCCATACAAGTGATATCTAAAATAATGTCATGTACCTAAGTTGACATTATATATTGACAATATTCATTACAATACCCAAAAAGAAGAAAGGGAAGAGCTATACAATTATAGTCTTCACTCTTTAAATGCCCCTTTCGTTCCTTTGTTCCTACCAGAGTCCTCACCTTTAAAATATAACAACAGGTGAAATAAATATTTCAACAACTAATATAGTTCATCAAATGCTTATTACCATAAATAACCATGATAAAGTATCAAAACTATAGTAATATCAAGTATACCATATTTATAAGATAAGTACATCTTTTCATAATAATTTCACACTAGCATGA